TCGGGCGTAGCTGTTGCGGGGTGGACGGCGCCGCCACCTGACACCGTCTCTGCGTCGCAAAACTGCAGCTGCCCCAGAGCCGCCTTCAAAAAGCCGTCTTGACCACGCAGCCGTCGGCAGCGCGACACAGCACCAGCTGGCCCCCCTTGCAGCCCAGCGCCAGCAGGCCGCCAGGGGCGGCAGCTGCACTCCAGGCCATGCAGCACACGGCCTTGACGGAGCGCCCCAGCTGCAGCGGGGTGGCCGCCCGGCTGGCAATGTCCCAGATGATGCCGCCGCCCTTGGCAGTGCCCAGAGCCAGCTGCACGCTGGCTGGGCTCCAGGCCATGGCCTGCACCTCTGCCGGCTGCAGAAGAGAGGGCAGCTAGAGGACGAGCCAAGGAAGCAGGGTATGCAAAGGAGCGGTCACTCGCCGCCCAGCATGTTGCTGACGCGCTTGCTGCACGGGTACAAGAAGCACAAGCATGCTGGTGTGCTTGCCTTGATGCCACTGTCCATGTGGGCCAGCTCCCCACTCGTGCTCCACACCATGGCAAAGGGCTGGCCCCGCGGCAAGATGGCCAGGTGGCTGGACCAGGGGTGCCAGCTCAGCGCCAGCACAGGCGTCTCCTGACTCTCGTCATAAAGGAACTCGGGGTCTGCACGGGCGGGGGTGGACGGCGTAGGACGAAAGGCAGAGCTGGGGTGACCATGCAAATGCAGATGCGGTGCACACCTGGCACTGTAAGGCTGGCAACAGCCTCGCCACTGCGGTCGAAAAGCACCACCTTCTTCTTCTGCGGGGCACGAAAGAGCTGGGCCCATCTGAGTCATGCAGCGAGAGGGATGGGCAGCAACATGCGTCAGCCTGCGCCGCCTGCACACCCTGAACCCTGCCGCAGCCAGCAGGTCGCCTGTCGGGCTCCAGCTGAACAGCGCGGCGCCCTCGGGGCCCAGCAGCTCGCTGGCGAATGTGCGAGTGGGGCGCTGCAATGGCAGCACAGAGGGGGCACGCAGCGGGTGAGCGGAGCGGCGGCAGCGGGAGGCGGGGCGGTGAGGGGGTCTGCAGGATGCACAGGCGTCTCGGACCGAGCTCGGGCGTTGCGCACCATCCTGCAATCCTCTGCTGCTCCCAAGCAGCCGCGCTGCGCGGCCTATCAGCACCGCGGTGTTGGCGGTCAATGTCACCCTGCCTAGCCGTGGGGCGTGCACCTCTACCTATCAGCTACCTGAGGCTACCTAATGTCGCAATTTGCCTGCCCCCGCCGCAATGTAGCGTCCTAAGCAAACACCGAGGAGACATGGTTTCTTGCACTGATCACTGATAACTCCACCAGGAGGATATATCCCAGGAGGATACATCCGCTGCGGTGACGATAGCTGCCATGCGTCGAGGGCTCGCAAGCTGCGCTGGCCGCCTTCTGCGGGCCGCGACAGAGGGGGATGTGGCACTTGGCGCCCGCCAGACCACCCGGGCTGGCTTGATCAGCGCAATGGGAGCCTGCGACAGGCTGTGCGCGGCTGCCAGGGTGCCTGCCCTTCGCACCTTCACCTTCAGCCCCACCTGGGCGCTCTCGGACCAGACTGGCCGCCTGAGGGCTAGCCAAAAGGCACAACTGGAGCTGGAGGTGAAACTGCTGCGGCAGACAGTAGATGCTCTGCAGCAGGCAGCAAAGGCAGAGCAGCAGGCTGCAGCCAACGCCCTGCGCGCAGCCGACGAAGCCGGGCAGGCAGCCGACGCAGAGCGGCAGAAAGCAGGTGCGGAGCGGCGGGCAGCGGAGTTGGCTGAGCAGTTCCTGCGCACTGAGTTGGCGCTGGCTCGGGGCACCTTGAACATGCGGGGTGCAATAGGTGCGTGCTGCTGGCTGCTCCTTCCTTCGGCGGGACAGCGAGGCCTAGTGCTGCTGGCGACTGCTTGGGTCTTTGTGGCAGGCTGCTTGCTGCTTGCTTGGCTTCAGCAGCCTTCCCCGCTGTCAACGCCGCTGCCTTGCTTTGTGGTCCAACTGCTGCATGGTGCAGAGGATGCGGAGCACAACTTCAGAGCCGCGCTCAGGCGTGCAGCGCAGAAAGCCGCACAGACGCGCCCAGCAAAGAGAGCCCCGCAGCCGCAATCGGCTGAGAGGCTAAGTCGCCCAGATCTGTGGCAGCGGCTGCTGGAACAGGAGGCGGCGCTGGCCCAGTGCTTTGAGGAGCTGGGCTGGGCGCGCGCGGACGCGCCCAAGAAGATTGCTGAGCTGTACAAGCTGCTGAGCAGGCATGTGCACAACGAATTTCAGCTGTCCCCGCAACGAGTGGACATTGTGGTGAGTGTCACGGTGAGGGTTCCGGCCAGCCAGCCAGGCAGAGGCACAATGGCGGGTGTGTAGCGTAGCGTGTGGTCGGCAGCCCAATGTGGGTGCATTTTACTATGCACCGTCTTTACCCAGCAGTCGCATGTCTGCCGTGCCCCTCCTCCTCGTTGTGTGCTGCAGCCTGCTGAGAGGATGCCGGCCTTGCTGCGCATGCATGCTTTCCTCAGTGTTGTGTGCGAGTCCTGTGACCCCCACGCAGGAGACGGTGGTGGACAAGCAGCAGGCCCGAGCCCTGGCCTGCATCTGCGACTACCTGAAGCTGGACTGGAACATCGTGTCTGGTGATAGTACAAGCAAGGGCAGCGAGCAAGAGGAGTAGCCGCCGCGCCGTGCAGCATGCAGCAGCAACCTGACGCAAGGCCCAACCTGCTGGCCCTGTGTGAGTGCAGCATCACCGCTGCTGCCAGTTTGTCTCTCCTTTCCGCTCCATGCACCCTCTTCTGGTCGTGCTTTGCTGTGCCGTGTTGCTACGCCCCCTCCCCGCTGACGTTGTTGCCCCAGTCCTGGACCTTGAACTGCTTCTGTTGCTGCCACTGTTGCTGCCCCGGCCGCCGGCCCCTTGGTTTCCCCTCTATCGCCTCCTGCATCCCTGCCCGCTGGACCCCTTACTCCCCTGCTGATGCGCATTCGGCGATCTACACGTCCTCATCCCATGCCGTGATCATTTCATCGTCTACCTCCGGGGAGGTAGTTTTGTTATGGCGGAGCGGCTCTGCTCTCATTGTGCGGCAGCGGGCGAGCGGCATGTGGAGGATGTGCAACACGCATTGTTGCGATGCCCACGGGCTGCGCAGCTGCGCGCTCAGTACCCCTTGCTTTTCACTCCTGCACATACTGCGTCTGTGTATGCATTTTTCACTCTCCCTGATGCCATCCAACTTTCCAGTTTCTGTCGTGCTCTGTACAGATTGCACCGCTACTAACTCCTACCTTCCTGTTGTGCCTCCCTCTCTCCCCCTCCCCCTCCTCCTGTTTTTGTCTGCTTTCTTTTGTTGCTTGCCTGCCTGGCCCCGGTTTCCTACCCCCACACATTCTGCTTGTGCTTTCTACTCCCAGTTTTCATGTTGTCTGTACTCCCTCTCTTCACACCCATTCATCTTCCACCTTCACCCCGCATGCATAACAGTCTGTGACGGTTCAGTGATTGACCAAAGACAGACTACATATAATGTAATGTTATGCACAGCTTTCAAGTGTTGCAATGGCGGTGTTGTTGGCCGCCAGCACTGAACGGCACAGTGTGGTGGCCGCTCTGACGGGAGAGGGTGCTACACAGGCCCGTCTTGGTTGCGGGGTAGCCAGCATGCTTGCCCAGAGTAGGCAGTCTGTCTGCCCGTGGGATGTCGCCGACAGGCGCGTGGTGGTTGGCGGCGGCGGGGGTGCACCTGTGTCGGTCTGCCGCGCAGTTGTACTTGGGACTCTGGTCTCTGCGGATTGTTGTCTACTTTGGGGTGGCTGGGTGCCTGCTCATGTTTGATGTTTTGCTGGTCATCACACATCCAAGCCTTGCGGTCACCGTCTGCCCAGCCAACCCAACCCAGGCGCCGTGCCCTCTCTTGCCAACAGCCCCGCCCCGCCGTGAGCTGCCCGCAGGCGCACGCACAGCGCGTACAACAGCACCGCCGAGTGGACGCTGGTTGGCGACCTGCGGCCAGCGCGCCTGCTGTTGGGGGCGTTCACCGTGGGCGACAGGCGGAAGCGGGAGGCAGCGCAGGCTGACATGCACGCCTGCGACCCGGGCGCGGCGCCGCGCTGCCTCACCCGCGCTGCTGCGTGATGGGCCTGCAGGTTTCCCGTCCTTTCGTGCGCCCAGCTTTGGTCCCGCCCGTGCATGCTGCCCGTTGCTGCCCCATCACCGTGTGCCATGCCTCCTGCCAGGCTACCTGCCTGCCTGCCTGCCCTGCCGTGCCTCGTCTGCCCCCTCACCTCCCCCTGCCCGCCTCCCATCCTACCTGCAGTTGGCCCGCCGGGGCGCAGGGGGTGGTGCTTGGGGATGGGGTGACGGCTGGCTGGCTGGCTGCCGGGACGTCAGGGTGCTGGAGGCAAGCGGGAGAGCCGCCTGCCACACCTGCCAGGCCGCTCCCACATGCGCAGCTCTGGAGAAGCCGTGCAAGCCACACGCACACGCAAACGCACGCAGTTGCCGATGCCGCCCAGCCAGCCACCTGCCCCGCCCGCCCCACCTGCAGGCGCTTGAGCCCCAGCGAGGCGCGCGCCTTGATGGGCCGCTCCAGGGTGCGCACAAACAGGGCGCGGTTGTCCAGCGGCTCCAAGTGCAGGAAGCGGGTGATGCCGTGCAGGTCCTGTGTGTGTGCGTGTGTGTGTGTCCAGACACACACACACGTGTGTGGAAGGGAGGCGGCAGCAGTGGAGGGATGCGATGGGAGGCAGGAGGGAGGGACGGCAGGTCAGGAAGGGAGCTGCATCCGCACGCGCCTGCCTGGTCCCCCCTCGCACACCGCACACCGAGTTCTGCAGCGGCGTGCCGGTGATGGCTCAGCGCCGCTCCGCCCTCAGCGCATACGCCGCCCTGGCCATCTGCGTGTTGGTGTTTTTGATGTGTGTGAGCCTCGTCCGTGCACGCGTGCAGCCAGTCCACCTGCAGGCCTGCCAGGCACAGGCAGGGGGTGGGTGCAGCCGCCCGTCATCACCCCAAGGCCTCCCACTTGCGGCGTGCCTCTCTACTCAACACATGGCCCCGCCCATTCTGCGCACGCCACTCTGCGGGCTGAGCTCCTGTGCCAGGATGTTGTGTGTGGTGAGCACAACAGCGGGTGGAGGGGGGATAACACAAAGCAGAAGCAGGTGACGCAGGCAGGCATGACCATTGAACATGAACATACATTCCCACCACCACCACCACCACCACCCCACAATTTCCACGCACCTACAGACCCTAAACGCCCACACACCATGCCCCAGCCCACCTCCTTGGCATGCTGCGCCTGGTCCAGCAGCGCAGCGCACTCCAGCACGAGGTCGGCGCTGCCGCTGGCCGCTGCCAGCTCCATGCCCTGCTCCACATACCCCAGCAGGATGCTGCACCTCGCCCTGCCCGCCTCGCACTGGGCCCGGCGCTGGTGCGCGGCCGCGGCACCTCCCGTCACGAGGTCTGGCTCCGCCAGAGCCTGCTGGTACAAGGCCATGGCTGTGCCCACCTGCGGTACGACGGCAGGAGGAGCAACGGCAGCAGCAGGAGCAGTGTGCGTGAGTGGATGGCAGCAAACGCGAGAGGGGAAGGAAAGCAGCACCAACAGCTGCACATGTATGCAGTACACCACCAGTGCAGACCTTCGGGTATCCTCACCTGCCCATCCGCCTCCAGCGCCTGCGCCCGCAGCAGCGCCAGGCTGCCCACCGCATGCGGCTCCAGCTCTTCTGGGGTGATGAGGGGGTGGGTGACCGCTGACGGGGGGACCTCCCGTGATGGCCACGGATGCGCCCCGTCACCAGGTTTTCATCCTGCACCTCCAGCAGCGGCCGCAGCTGCGCCAGCGCCTCCTCGTCGCCCGCCGTCTCGTGCGCCGCCACCGCCACCCGCAGCTCGAGGAACTGCAGCGCCGTCAGCGCCAGCTCACATAGCAGCTGCGGGCCGCCCAGCGTGCGTGCCGCACCCAGGGCAGCCGCAAAGTGGCACAGGGCCAACGCCTCTTGGCACCGGGCCACCAGCAGCTTCTGGCGAGTCATGGGCTTGCTGCGGGAGGGGTTGGGGTCGGCACCGGCGGCGGGCGTGCCCCAGCCGGCCGGCGGCGGCGCCGGCGCCTGCGCATGCCGGCCCCGGCTGCTGGCGGCCCTGCCCATGGGGCTATCCCCGGGCTCGCCCTGGTGCTGGTGGGTGTCCAGCAGCTGGGTGTCCAGGGAGCCGTCGGGCAGGTGCCAGGTCACCGCGCCGTTGAGCAGCGCCAGCGGTACCGCCTCCTTGCTGCCCGCATGCGTGCCCACCAGCTTCACGCCAGGGCCTTGCACGGAGTGCGGGACGTGGCAGTACACGTGGACCAGGCCTGCAAGGACGCGGGACAGCAGACAAGAATGAATGAATGATGACGGTTTAGAATGCACACATCCAGGCAGCGGCAGGAAGAACACCCACCTAGGGCAGCTTTGTTGGCTGAGCCATGGCACCTCGAAAACGACAATTTGCAGCCAGCAGTCAGCCCCCCGGCAGCCCCGACCTCACTCTGGACACCCCACCTGCTTCATTCACTGCCGCCAGAAGGCCTGGGTCGCCGCCATCCCACCCTGCAGCCCGCAGCTCGCCGCTCCATTCAGGCAGCGGCATGAGCTGGCCTCGCATGGCGTGATAGAGTACGGTGCCGCCGCTGGCATCCTGGATCACCACCCTGCGGCAGCAAGGGTGGGCGGGCCAGAATACGGCCAGCGGCGGGAGTGAGACGCAAGCTGGGCAGGCGGCGTGGATGGCCAGGCTTGGCGGGCGCCGGCCAGCCCAGGCAACCGCTAGGGGGACACGCGACACACACTACACACCCAACCACACACGCTTTCTCCTCCAACATGCTCACATGGTGCCGTCTTGGTTGGGAAAGACGGCTGTGATGCCGCCGCCGCCGTGCTGGTACTCGCTCACCAGCGCCGCGTCGGAGCAGCGGTAGGAGGCCAGTGCGCCGTCGGGCAGGCCCAGCAGGATGCTGCGCTCGGTGAGGGCAGCGCAGCCCGCGCTGAACGCCTCGCCGTCCTCGCCCCTGCAGCCCGGCAGGCACAGCGCCGTGCCATCCTTCAGGCGCAGGCGGGCGTTCAGAAACACGCCCATCGCGGCGTGCTTCTTGGGGATGTGGAATCATGCAGCAGCCAGCAAGGCCCATGCAGAAACATGCGGTCGCCTGCGCCACAGCCCACACGCCGCCCGCCCTCACCGCAGCTCCACCACCTCGCCGCTACCGTCGGCGCCGCCCAGCTGCACAAACACGCGGCCGCCCTCCCCTAGCAGCAGCAGGCAGGAGGCGTTGAGGCGCAGCCAGCGGATTTCGGTGGGGAACTCTGCCTCGGCCGGCGGCGGCAGCAGGCCGGTGCTGGGGTTGGGCTCCAGCGCCTGGAGCCACACCTGCGAGGGAAGGCAGTGCACACAACCCAACCAGTGAGAACAGCAGATAGTGTGCAGCGCCTTGCGATTTGCTCTGCAATCTGCAGCGATGCCGCAGCACCAAGCAGCCACAGCAGCATGCATTGCGGAACCCGGCAGCATGCGCTGCAAGAGCAGGCCGGTGGGAGGCTCACCATGTTGCCCACCGCCGCCGCCAGGTGCGTGGGCCCCAGCGCCAGCAGCTCTGGCTCCACAGGCAGCGGCAGCGGCACCGCCGGCCGATGCTGCTGCTGCTGCTGCTGCTGCTGCTGCTGCTGCTGGGCCTGCAGGCTGGCTGTGTCCAGCAGGAGGGCCTGGGTGAGGGAGGCGGCGGGGTCAACGTACGCCAGCTTGCCGCCGCAGGCGCCGTGCAGCAGCGGCGGCTTGGCCAGGAACTGCAGCAGCTTGCCCGACTCGGTGCCCACCGAAAGCAGGCGGCCGCAGGGGCTGGCCTGCAGGCTGGCCACGCGGTGCGCGCCCTCCAGCTCCGTCACACCTGGCTGCTGCACCACCCGCGGCGCCTCGGGCCCCTCCAGCGCGCAGCTGAACAGCGCCAGCCTGCCGCCGGCCCCCGCCGCCAGCATGCCCGTGGCGGCGCACCAGCTGAGCGCGCTCCCGCTGTGATGCAGGGCCCGAGAGCTGAGCAGCTCGGTGCCGCTGCCGCTGCCGGGCTGCAGGCCGCCGCTCAGCGCCACGGCGACCAGGTAGCCGGTGGAGAAACCAGCCACCAGGAGGCGGCGGGACAGCCAGCAGTACTGCAGCAGGTCGCCATATCCCTCCCGGAACGCCAGCTCAAACGTTCCGCCGCTGCCCCCCTCCCCCCCCATAGGATGCGGCAGCTGCCAGATGCACACCGTGCGACGCCCCAGGCAGGCGGCCAGCAGCGAGCAGCCGTCGGGCGTGGCTGTTGCGGGGTGGACGGCGCCGCCACCTGACACCGTCTCTGCGTCGCAAAACTGCAGCTGCCCCAGAGCCGCCTTCAAAAAGCCGTCTTGACCACGCAGCCGTCGGCAGCGCGACACAGCACCAGCTGGCCCCCCTTGCAGCCCAGCGCCAGCAGGCCGCCAGGGGCGGCAGCTGCACTCCAGGCCATGCAGCACACGGCCTTGACGGAGCGCCCCAGCTGCAGCGGGGTGGCCGCCCGGCTGGCAACGTCCCAGATGATGCCGCCGCCCTTGGCAGTGCCCAGAGCCAGCTGCACGCTGGCTGGGCTCCAGGCCATGGCCTGCACCTCTGCCGGCTGCAGAAGAGAGGGCAGCTAGAGGACGAGCCAAGGAAGCAGGGTATGCAAAGGAGCGGTCACTCGCCGCCCAGCATGTTGCTGACGCGCTTGCTGCACGGGTACAAGAAGCACAAGCATGCTGGTGTGCTTGCCTTGATGCCACTGTCCATGTGGGCCAGCTCCCCACTCGTGCTCCACACCATGGCAAAGGGCTGGCCCCGCGGCAAGATGGCCAGGGGGCTGGCCCAGGGGTGCCAGCTCAGCGCCAGCACAGGCGTCTCCTGACTCTCGTCATAAAGGAACTCGGGGTCTGCACGGGCGGGGGTGGACGGCGTAGGACGAAAGGCAGAGCTGGGGTGACCATGCAAATGCAGATGCAGTGCACACCTGGCACTGTAAGGCTGGCAACAGCCTCGCCACTGCGGTCGAAAAGCACCACCTTCTTCTTCTGCGGGGCACGAAAGAGCTGGGCCCATCTGAGTCATGCAGCGAGAGGGATGGGCAGCAACATGCGTCAGCCTGCGCCGCCTGCACACCCTGAACCCTGCCGCAGCCAGCAGGTCGCCTGTCGGGCTCCAGCTGAACAGCGCGGCGCCCTCGGGGCCCAGCAAATCGCTGGCAAATGCGCGAGTGGGGCGCTGCAATGGCAGCACAGAGCGGACACGCAGCGGGTGAGCGGAGCGGCGGCAGGGCGGGAGGCGGGGCGGTGAGGGGGCGTGCAGGATGCACAGGCGTCTCGGGCCGAGCTCGGGCGTTGCGCACCATCCTGCAATCCTCTGCTGCTCCCAAGCAGCCGCGCTGCGCGGCCGATCAGCACCGCGGTGTTGGCGGTCAATGTCACCCTGCCTAGCCGTGGGGCGTGCACCTCTACCTATCAGCTACCTGAGGCTACCTAATGTCGCAATTTGCCTGCCCCCGCCGCAATGTAGCGTCCTAAGCAAACACCGAGGAGACATGGTTTCTTGCACTGATCACTGATAACTCCACCAGGAGGATATATCCCAGGAGGATACATCCGCTGCGGTGACGATAGCTGCCATGCGTCGAGGGCTCGCACGCTGCGCTGGCCGCCTTCTGCGGGCCGCGACAGAGGGGGATGTGGCACTTGGCGCCCGCCAGACCACCCGGGCTGGCTTGATCAGCGCAATGGGAGCCTGCGACAGGCTGTGCGCGGCTGCCAGGGTGCCTGCCCTTCGCACCTTCACCTCGAGCCCCACCTGGGCGCTCTCGGACCAGGAGTACAGCTCGGTGTTCTACCCAGAGCCCGAGGCGGAGGTGGGAGAGGCCGCCCCGTCCTTCAGCCTGCCAGGTGGGTGGTAGGGTTTTTCAGCGGCGGCGGAGCAGCGGCGGCAACAGGCAGGAGCAGGCTGCTGTGCTGCTGCGCATGCCAGCTGCTGCTGGTTCCAGCGGCTGGAACCACCAGCAGCTCAACCACTGTCCAGCGGCACCCCTGCCTCCGCCACCCACCCGCCTAGCACCTACCCTCTTCTGCTGCTGCTGCCTGTCGTTTCCTCTGTCCCCGCAGCCATTGTCAATGGCGAGGTGAAGCAGGTTAGCCTGGAGGACTACAAGGGCAAGTATGTCATCCTCTTCTTCTACCCCAAAGACTTCACGTGAGCGTTGGGGGGAGCACCGTCCTGGGGGCCAGGTAGCCTGGGACACCCCGGGGGATCCGATCAGGCAGGCTGGGCGAGGCAGAGCATGGGCTGGTCGCCCCTTGCGCTACTGCACACGCCACCAACCGCTCCCTCCAGAGCAGCCATGTGTCCATGTTCTTCCAGCCTGCACACGTCTGCACCCCATGCTGCTGTCTGCAGCTTTGTGTGCCCCACAGAGATCATCGCCTTCAGCGACCGGGCCAAGGAGTTTGAGGCGCTCAACTGCCAGGTGCCTTGGTTGGTTGCCTACATCAACCGCCAGCCTCTGTGTTCCTTTGTTGTTTCGCATGTAGCTTGACGTGTATGCTTTTCATGCAGTTTCTGTGCTTCACATGCTGCTGTATGTGCACGGCATGCCGGCCCGCGCCCACGCCTGTCTGGGCTGCCTCCCTGCCTCCTCCCCCTGCAGCTGCTGGCGGCCTCCACCGACACGCCAGAGGTGCACCTGGCCTGGATCAAGACGTCACGCAAGCGCGGCGGCCTGGGCTTCATGCAGGTGTGTGGCCAGGGGCGCCTTTTCGTGGGGCAGAGCAAAGCCAGCTGGTCATGGATGTGCTGGGGCGTGCCATCGCTGGGCAGGTGACCTGCTGCAGTTTCATCACAAGCATAGGGAAACTTACGTTCCGCCCGCGCCAACTGCAGATCCCCATCCTGGCGGACGTCACCAAGGCGGTATCTGCACGGTACGGAGTGCTGAAGCGGGATGCCGGCATCGCGCTGCGTGGCCTGTACATCATCAACCCCGAGGTACACTCTTGGCGGGGGCTCTGTGCTGGGGCAGGGATGGAGCTGGGCTTGGTTTGGGAGTTGCCGTGGCAAGCAGCCGTCAGGGGCTGGGCCAGCGATACCTCGCACCATCGGGCTGGGCACAGGGCAGGCACTCACTTGTGCTCATGCGCGTGCCCGGTGTGCTTTCCTGCAGGGCGTGCTGGAGCACATCACCGTCAACAACTTCCCAATCGGGCGCAACGTGGACGAGGCGCTGCGCACGCTGCAGGCACGCCCAGCGCCCGCCGCCATGCCTGTGCTCAGGATGACGGCTGCCCACAGCCTGCTTGTGCTACCTCACGCGCTGTCTGCCTGGCGAGCAGGCCTGGGAGCCCTGCCTGTGTACGCTCAGTGCCTGCGTACGCGCATGGCATTGGCAGATGTCCTGGTGTTGCGACGCATGCCGCCCCGCTCGTGATGCCTCCTTGTACCGCAGGCGGTACAGTACGTGGCGGAGCACGGCGAGGTGTGCCCCGCGGGATGGAAGCCGGGCGACAAGACGATGGTGGCGGACCCTGAGAGGTCGCTTGAGTATTTTGAGAGCGTTGGAACGGAGGAGGTGGGCGGCGTTCTGCAGGCTGGCTGGCCGCATGGGTGCGGTGCGCGCAATTTCGGAGTGGTGGCACTGGCTGAGGAGGTCTGCTGTGGCGGGGATCCAGCGAGGGTGCTGTGCCGCTGTTTTGCCGTTGCGTTTGGCGGCACCGGGGGCTGTCCTGGGCGGGCATGCTGATGGCGCCCGTTGGTGCTGCAGGAGGAGGCCGAGGAGGCGGGGGCTCAGCTGCTGAAGATCCACAGCAAGAAGGAGCTGGATGGACTAGTGGGATCAGGCAGGCCGCGCTGCCTGGTGCTGCCTCTGTTGTGCTGTTTGGCGGTGTGCTGCAAGCTGATGCTGCCCGCCAGCGCCTGATGGCTTTCCTTGCCTGCCGTGGGAAGGCACACATGGACTCTGCCGCATCTGCCCTATCCTCTGCCTGGGCGGTGCAGGAAAGAAGGTGATGATCAAGTTCTGGGCGCCCTGGTGCAACAAGTGCAGAATGATCGCGCCACACGTGGACGACCTGCAGGTCGGCTTTACTGCACTGTGCTGCCCTGTCCTGCCCACTTTGCCATACTCGCAAGGTTACTGTGGGTCAAGTGCCCTTGACCCACAGTAAACCTTCCCCAGTTGCTCCGGTTCTCCTTTGCGTGGTGTCCCACCACACCCTCCTGCCCGGCAACTCTGCCTCCTGCCGCGCAGGCCAAGTACCCAGGCGTGACGGTGGCCTCCTTTGACACCACCGCGGAGGAGCTGGAGAACCTGGCGGCGGAGATGGGGGTCAAGGGCCTGCCGCAGTTCCGGTTTTACAATGTGAGGCACTTGCCTTGCCGGTGCAGCCTTACTGATATGGCCCGTTTGAACACTTGGACTGTGCCGCACCACATGCAAACAGACCATCATTGTGTTTGGCAGATCTAAGCTCTACTATCGCTCTGGGTGCTCGCTGTTGCAGGGCGGCAAAGAGGTGCTGGGCAAGATCATGGGCTACAAACTGCAGCCGCTAGCGGACGCCGTCAAGCAGCTGGATGCGCTCTGAGGTCCCAGGCGCACGCATGACTGCAGCCTGTTCCATTGATTGTCTACTGCCAACGATTGTCGCTTTCCTGCTCATTCGGTTTTGTTCAGCTTGCGGCTGCCCTCTTTCTTGCCACAGCAGTCCTTTAATCATCTACAAGGATATCATCGCTGCCTGCACAGCTTTGGTTTGTGATGAGCCTTTCCTCAGAGGCGCAATCAGAAGCCCTCAGCGGCAGCGCCATCATCCTGGCTGCCGCTGTTCAACCCCTTGAGTGCCGTCTTGCACAAATACCAGGTGCTGCCTGCCGTGTCAGCTGCTGGTGTTGTTGCTAGCGCCAGGCTCGGTGGCTGTTGGCTGGCTGCTGCATCTGGCAGTTGCGACAGATGCTTGGTGGAGGACCCTCCTTCCACACCCTCTTGCTCGCTGCAGCTGCTGCCCATCTCCATATCACTGCTGCTGTCTCCAGTCTCGGCCCCCTCCTGTTCCTCGCACTGCACTGGCTCGGGCTGTGCCGTCGGTTCCTCTGGCACTGCCGCTGGCTTTAGCTCGGGCTGCTGTCCCAGCAGCAGCTTCAAGTGCATCCCCTTGCGCATGGCCAGCCTGAACTGACGTTTCACCGCAAAGCCGGGCGGCGCTGAGGGCAACGCCGGCTGCACCTCGCTGCAGCCCGCTGCAGCGCCAGCACCAAAACCGTGTCCCGCGCTGCTGCCACCGCCGATGCTGGCTCCCTCCAACAGCAGGAACAGCTTGCACGGCACTGCAGAGGCAGGGTAAACATCTGGGTGAGAGCCGGGCGGTTTGCCATGCCGCAACACAGCAAGCCTTCGCCACGCAAAACACTGCATGCAGCCAGGCCGCCGCCCCACCTCTGTGCGCCGTCCCCTCTGGCAGGTCTGCCCCGGCCACAATCAGCTGCCGCACCGCCAGCAGGCACAGCCGTTCTTGGCGCGACGGCTTGGGACGGCCTCCCGGCTGCGCCTGCATCAGCTCGCTCATGCCTGTGTTGCCTGTTGGCTGCTGCTGCTGCAGGGGAGCAGGCTGTGCCGCCCCTCCTGCGGCTGCATCTGCCGCCGCTGCTGATTCTGGCAGCAACGGCCGTGGGCCCACTGCTGCTGCCGGCAACAGCACCTCATAAGCCTCCCTTGGTCGGGAGGTGGAGGATCCCAGCAGCAGGAAGGCACGGCGGGGCACTCCAAAGCTGGCCAGGGCCGCATCTATCGCCGCCATCAGCTCCTCGGCCTTTGTCAGGAACTGCAGGCGCAAAGAGGGGCATGTGAGGGAGGAGCTTGCAAGCCTAGACTCGGCTCATGTGTTGCGCAGCAGGCGGCTGAGACAGTCGAATAACCTAACGACCAGTTCCAGGCAGGAAGGAAATCCAGGCGTGCCCATCATGCACGGCAGCCGCCCGCACCTTGAGGAGGCGGCGGTCGGCAGATGGCACCCGGCGGCGGCGCGGACGCCTGCCTCCGCCAGCCTGCTGCGCTGCTTCTGCCGCTGCGCGCTGCTGCTCTTGCGCGGGCCGCAGAAGCTCGTCGTAAAGGTAGGGGATCTGGGCCCGCTGGAAGAGCAGGTGCTTGATGAGGGCCTTGAGAAGGGCGCCGCACTCGGCCGCCGTCGGCGCGACCGGCAGCGGGATGGCCAGGCTGGCGTGGTGCACCTGCTGCCGGCGCTGGCGTGCCCCTCCATTGCGCCTCGCGGTCATGAGGGGCAGCTGCTACGGGCAACCGGAGCGTTGCAACACAGGAGTCCAAGATGTGATGTGATCGAGGCCTCAGGCAGCGTTGCAGTGCCTGTTGGCTGCCTCAACATCGACATTCACAGCTTGGAGAGCCCTCCCGGGGGCGCCATTCCACCGTGTGCTGAGTCGGACAGGAGTCTGCTCATCTGCCGAACCCATGCCTCTTTCTTGACGCTCACCGTGAATTGCCGCCATCATGAGCGGGGGAGACGTGCAAGCCGCCTCCCTGGGCGATAGGCTCTTCGCCTGGGCTATGGATAGTCTCGGGTGCGCTATACTGCTCATTGCAGAGCTTGAAATCATTGCAGGGATGCAGGGTTCAGTGCCGAGTGGCGGGCATCTGCGAATTGTGGGGTGGTGGCGGCGGTGGCGGCATAACGCAGCCGCCTGCCTGCTGCCCATCTCCCCTGCATGCAGGCCCAAGGCGGAGTGGCGGTTCCGAGAGCGCAAGCTGGGCCTCTTCTCCTGCCTACGGCGGGAGCAGGGTGTCTCCACCGTGGTGGAAGTGGGTGGGTTGCTTGCTGCCTCGTCTCTCCCGCCGTGCCTGCCCCCGTACTGGTTGCTCAATCACTGCCCTGCCATGCCGCAGGCATGGGAACAGCCCCCAACCTGAAACATTATGCCAAGGACGTGGATAGAATCATCGGAGTGGATCCCAATATGGCCATGCACCAGTACGCACGCAAGGCGGCCGAGGCGGCGGGGGCAGCCGCCAAGCTGCAGCTGGTGACGGGCACCGCTGAGGCGCTGCCCCTGGAGGATGCCAGCGCCGATGCGGTGGTCATGACGCACGTGTGTGCCCTGGCAGCAAGCAGCTGGCATCAGGGGTGCTCTGCTCGCCTGCTGTGCAACGACCAAGCCGCCTTTCGGGCTGGCTTTTCAAGGCAGCAGCTGCCTATGCCCCGCGCTGCTGCTCAACACGCGCCTGCGCCCCCGCAACCGCGCAGGTGCTGTGCAGCGTGCGCGACCAGCAGCAGGCGCTAGCGGAGGTGCGGCGGGTTCTCAGGCCTGGCGGCAAGCTGCTGTTTCTGGAGCACGTGGCGGCGCCAGAGGGCGAGGTGCTGCACGCCGTGCAGCGTGCGCTCAACCCGGTGGTGGGGTTTGTGGGCCACGGGTGCAGCGCCACCCGCTGCACGCTGGCGGCGATAGAGCGGGCCGGGTTCGCCTCGCTGGATGCCGACAGCTTCAAAGTCAGCTTCTGGGGCCCGGCGGCCGTGATTGCGCCGCACATTGTGGGGTGCGCTGTGAAGTGATGCCGTCCACGTACTGAACATACTGAACACACCCCACAGTCCCACTGCCGCGAACCCCTGTCCCCCCCTCCTGCATAGTGCGCGGGTGCAGCGCTGGTCCTCTCGCCTGCGCACCTGCGGCCACGGTGCAGTCTGCGGGGCAGCTGAGGCAGCGCGCCCGCCACGCCAGCCCAGCCCCAGGCACCGCCTTGAGCCTCACAAAGGCGGTTGCCCCTGCCGAGAGGCCCCCGCCTTCTTCGGGAAGTGCTGGGCGTGGTGAGGGGCTCGGATGGTACCCTCTCGCTGGTGCTGTGCCAACTGCTGCTGCAGCTCCAGCGCAAGCCGGCAGCTGACACAGAAGACTTAGCATCACAGACAGAAGCAGCCGGCGCCAATCAGTGGCGATTTTGCCTGCGCCAGCCACTCAACCACTCGGCCTGCCCCGAGCTCTCACCTGCAGCTTCTGCTGCACGTTGCTCCTCATGGAGAGGTGATGTGCAGCGGTGCAGCCGCTGGTTGCCGGCCCTGCCTCAGCTCAGCCAGCCTGCATGCACAGGAGGGCGGGCAGGCAGCCGGGGGGAGGCAAGGTGCAAGGAGGGAGGCGAAGAAGCACAAGCGGGCCTGGCAGCGGCTGGCAGGCGAGCATGGCAGCAACAGGAGCAGCAGCAAGCGTGTGGGAGCAAAGCAGCAAGAGCGCCTTTGGTCGACTTAAATCGATTCAATTGCCAACGGGCTTGCTACCGTGCCCAGCCTTGCCCTTGCACGCTGCCCACACATACTGAGTTGAGGATCATATCCAGACGGTTGACCATTCCACACTCCAAGTGCAGGAGGAGAAGAGTTTCTGCTTGGGGGAAGCACCAAAAGGCCTCTCTGCCCACTGGGGCGGTTGGTGCGGCGGGTGGTGCGGCGGCAGGGCACTGGGCGGTTGGCAGGCGGCAGTTGGGTTCTGACGTATCCCTGATGATGTGCTGCTGATGCAGAGTTGCAGGCTCTCTTATTATTTATTCGTGTAGCAGAATTGAGTTTTCTTGAGTATGCTGAGCGCGGAGCGCCAACTGGCGTCTAGCTGGCATTCCTGAATGCTTTCTGCTTCTGCGGCGTGCTGACTGCCATACTTAGGTCATCATTGTTAGCCCTGAGGAGCGCTGCTGCGCTGGGGATCCGCCTGCGGGCGTAGAGCCCCAGCGCGGCCTCGAACCTCCCGAGTCTGCAGCCATGCTCGCTCGTCCCGGAAGCCCCACAGAGTTTGAAGAAACCAAAGACGAAGCTTACTACTTGCGGCGAATTGAGAAATCAATTGCTGCCCAGAAAGCTGTGACAAGCTCTTTGGGCGGAAGTGGCTCGGCTTGACGCTATCTCGAAGGCAAGGAACGAGGCGCGGCGTGCTGCGGAGGAGCAGCGGCGCGCTGCGGAAGAGCAGAAGCAGAAGGAGGCCGCTCTACTTGTGGCAGCGCAGGAGGCGCAGCGAGTGGCGGCGCGAGTCGCCCAGAGGCCGGCTCTGGGTGAGTTGATGTGCGGGCAGGGCTGTCTCGCCGCCTTGGGCTTGATTCTTGCTGTATGGCAGTGGCATGGTCTACAGTGCACGCTTACGGCGTTAGCCTGGTGGTCTGGATGCACTACACCACAACTGAAACCGCCGACCACCTGCCACCCCGCCTGCAGCCATTGACGTGCGCAAGAAGAAGCAGTAACGTTCTGCCGGCAAGGGAGATTGAGCCAGCCCCCATGCGCGTCGAAGGGCACAGTGGGCAGCTGTCGCCGCGCACCTTTCCAGTTGCGCCTGCCCCATAGCTGTTAACATTAGCTGAGCTAGTGTGGCGCTTAGAGTCATGATGTGCAGATGCCGCCTCCTTTGCCTCACGCAGCCCCCAAACCTTTTTCCTCGACAGATTATTTTTCTGGCTGTCGGTACCTGTCGTCACACGCCCACCAATGCTTTGTCCTCGCGCGGTTTACACTTGAGCGTTCCGTGCCGATCCGGCTGCCGCGCTGGTGCTAGCATACCGTCATCTCGCCTTTTCGTATCAGCTGTTCATTTCATGTTGTCATGTTTACACCTATGATGCAATACACTTCCATTGAAGAAGCTAGCCTACCCACAAGCGGCGGCCGCGACTTGAGGGCTCCCGTTTCAACAGCGTTGACGGATCTGCAGGTGAGTGCGCAGCCGGGGAGGCCAGGGCCGGGTGGCTGAGGGAGGCTGGTAGGCCTGGTGCATGCATGCGGCGTCTTCTGCCAACCTGCTTGGCTGATCATCAGCTGGTGCTGCTTTCAGTGTCCCCGTCTCCGGCCTGCAGGCGATCCTGTCCGGCTTCCAATCCGCCGCGTCCGACGGCATCGTCGTGCTCCTTCTGATCGACATTGTGGGTGCGGGAGGTTGGCTGCAGAACCGTGTGTAGACTTGATGCCAGCAGCGGTGCGGAGCAGTGAGGGTGCATGAGCAGTGATGGACCAATCGGAGTCAGTGCCGACATGGGAGCGCTCCTGTGGCCGCTCCTGCCCTGAGCTGTGTTCCGCCTCTGTGGCAGCTGCAGATGGCGCTGGAGGTGCTGGTGGATGCGGTGAGCAGCGGTACAGCCAGATAACGGCCTGAAGCCAGTGGCACCTCAGGTAGGTCAACAGCCACCGAGCGAGGGCTGGACAGAGGCTGGCCTGGCTGGCTTTGTGATTGACGTGGCCCAACCGCGTCAGGCCTCGCTCCTGGGCAAATCTGGTCGGTGCATTTAGTGGCGATTTGTGTCATCCTGCCTGCTGCCGCTGCTGCAGCAGGCGCGAACTTCCTGCTGAAGTCCCACATGCCCTCGCCTGTCGTCAAGCATGTGGTGAGCACCCTGCCTGCTGCCAGCGCTGCTGCTCCTGGCTCTTGCACGCTGCCAGTTGTTTGCGAGAAGCCCACTCTGGAGTGGCAGGCACCTCATGTACCGCTTGCCACTGCTCATGGCTCGTCATAGCGGTCTTGAAGACGTTTGCCGCGGGCATGAGCCGCACTGGGCTATCCAATACTGGTGCGGCGGCGGCAGCCCGTCCCGCTCTCAGTACAGTTCCCAGTGGGACTTGGAAGCGGCGCATAAAAGCACGCACATCGCTCGGAATCTCCACTTCTCAAAGGAGTTGCTTATACACCTCGATCCCCTCCTCCCGCCCAGGACTCTTGCAACCTCCACGGTTGAGCCCCGCGCCCTCCTGGGCGCGCGACTGTGCGTGCCCGCCTCGCGAGTAATTCCCCGGCAACATGGCGCGCCACGTCGCGATCAGGCGGCTGCTCAACGACCTGAAGGAGGTGAGTGCGGGGGGGTGGATGGTGGGCAGGCACCCTGCCGCCGTAATGCATGCAAGGAACGCAACCATGCCAATCGCTGCGCCAGTTGCCCTTGCTCCTCGGCCTGCGCTGCTCAGGCCCGCCCTGCTCAGGTCGGCCTCTTGCTCTCGCGCCCCCCTGCACCCCCAGCCATGTGGTCCTCCTGTTGACGCCGCTGCCCACCTGCGCCTGCCATCCCGCCCCGCCCCGCCGCAGGTGTTGGAGCACCCCCAGCCCGACGCGGCCGCCTTGCCTACGGAGGATGACCTCATGGTGTGGCACGCCAACTTGCGCACCCAGGAGGGCCCCTTGGCTGGCCTGGCCCTCCACGCCCTCCTGCTCTTCTCCGACGATTACCCCGCCCGCGGCCCCGCCATCCGCCTCTTCCACGCCCTACCCCACCCCAACATCGCCCTCCACCTGAGCCCAAGCCAGTGAGTGCCAGCGGTCTGCGGCCATCGCCGCTGCTTCGCTCGGCGCTGCCGCCGGCCAGCGCTGCGCTGCGCGGGCTGCCAGGTTGCAGGCGGCGGCGCTGTGCGTCGCACTGTGTTGCGTTGCGTTCCGCCGCCGCCTCCTGGCGCTCCCCTGGCCCACCCTTCCCGCCCCCACCCTCTGCCGCCGCTGCAGGCAGTGCCACGGCGCTTCCTACCGTGTGGCCCTGTGGAACTGCAACCCCTCCTTGGACCAGTGGAACCCAGCATACTCGGTCCTGTCCACCCTGGCCCTCCTCTCCTCCTTCCTCTTCGACCCAGACCTGCTCTACGATGCACGCAAGGTGCGCGGGTGCAGCATGCACATAGGCGGCTCGCCGTCTGTGGCTGCCTGGCTTGCGCCTGTGGGTACGCGTTGGCTGCCGGCTGCGCCAGTGGCTGGCGGCCAGCTGGCGGCATCCCCGCTGACCCGCCCCCACCGCCGCCGCGCCATGCAGATCTCGTTCGAGGCGGCGACGCGGGCAGCCGCAGGGCTGGACCTCAAGGGCCACCCCCACACTGGCGCCCTCCCCTTCCCGCCCTTCCCCACGCCCGAGCAAGCGTCGCTGGCGCCGCGCCTGCGCCTCATGGATGTGCGGCGCCCGCCCGTCAACAGAGGTGAGCCAAGCGATGGGCAGCAGCAGGGGACAGGGACCTGGGTGTGCGCGCGCGTGTGTGTGCATGTGCGTGTGTGTGTTGGCGGAGGGTGCGGGGCGGCGGTGCAAGCTGGCTGCCCAGGCTGCCCTGGGTTGCCCGGCTGCCCTGGCATGGAGTCGGGGCAGCATGCCATGCCTGGCCTGGCCATCGCTTGCCCCTGCTGCCACCGCTGCTCACCGGCACGCCGCTCCTGTCCCGCTGCTGTGCCTGCAGACCTCATGTCTGCGCACAGCGAGGTGCAACCCCTCAAGGCCACCACCGTCAAGGCCGCCACCCTCACGGCCGCCACCCCCAAGGCGGGCCCGCACGGCGGGGAGGTGTGGACGCTGGTGAGCGCCAAGCGAGGCGTGAAGGCGAGCGTGGCTGACATGGCGGCGTCCGCCGCCGACCCTACCGCTGCCCTGGCCTCCTCCCTCTCCCTCTCCTCCTGGGGCCCCGCCAGCAGCGGCTTTGACCTGCTGTCGGGCCTGGAGGAGGAGAGGGAGGAGGAGGAGGAGGAGGGCGGCCACACTTCGGAGGAGGAGGAGCCTGAGGAGGAGGCGGCAGCGCCCACCACAGAGAGCGGCATCCAAAGGTGTGCAGCAGCTCCCGGGTTTCCTGCCTGCTCGCTGTGTCCCTCCCTGCAGCCCCTGCCCGTTGGCTGCACCCTCACTGGCTGCTGCTCTGCTGCGGCCGTGCGGCGGACGCCTGCCGCTGAGCCTTTGCAACGACCGCCACCCCCTCTCCCTGCCTTAGCACAACAACCCCGTGCCTGTGCCTGCCTGCCCTGCAGCGAGCGACTGCTGGATCCTTCCATCCTTGAGGCCAGCCACACCTCCCTGATTGGTGGCGTGATGGCGCTGCACCACGAGCGGCTGGAGGCGCAGCTCGGCGAGCGGGCCGCCAGGCTGGCGCTGCACGCCGACGCCATCAGGGTGAGTGGGTGGGTGCGGGTGGCTGCAGCTCAGCCCAGGACTTTGCCGGGCAGCCCTGCTTGGGCTCTGCTGCCTGCCTGGCCCGGCTGCCCGCATCTTGACGCAACTTGACGCCTCCCCCTGCCACCGCTTGCTCACCGTTGTGTATGCTTGCTGCCTGCCCACCTGCCCGCCTGCCTTCTCCTTGTGTGCAGGGCGCGGCAGACCACCGAGTGGCGGCGGTGGAAGGGGCCAGCGCAGGGCCCGCCTTTGACGTCCTCACCCCTGATGCCCTCGCCCAGGTCCTGCTGCGCATGGAGGCCAGGTGGGCGCCCCGCCCTGCACCCTGCCTGTGCCCTGCTGCCTGCCAGCCTGCCCGTGCCCTTCAGCTTGCCAGCCTGCCCCCCCGCCTGAGCCTACTTGGCTGCCTGGGCC